ATTGCGAAGACACCTGTGGCCAGAAGAATATTGGGGTTATATATTTAGTCTTGAAATCGATATTTTTGTTTCTGATGACGAGTGTGACTGGTATGCGTGCGTGTGTTGTGTCCTCGTATATAAATTGAGTGCTGTGTTAAAAGTATTGCCAAATGTTATGCAAGAATGGAACTTGAGTATTTATAAAGACAGGTAAAAGTCGGATGTAAAGATAACAGTCTTAGCACGACAGTATTGTACAGAAAACGACTGCTTTGTGAAACTGTAAAGGCAGTTTCATTTCAGAAATGTAATACGTCTCTGGCTTACAGTATGCATATTTTCCTCCTTTCCTCTCTTCACGTGTACATAATTCTGTGATACCTTCCTCGGGATACACTGGAATTTTCAATCCAGACTTTGAATAAATATATAAATGAATTGCCGTAACTTGAAGTTAGGGTGCGCCAATTGACAGCTACCGGACGAATATTTTGCATGTGATATCTTTGCAAATGAACTTACATTCTCCAAACTTTATGTGACCGAAGTTAGGACTCCTCTCAACAAGTTCCGGGAAATGTAGTTTTCTGATACTGTTGGGAGGCGTGTACTGTGTCGGTGGGGTGTCAATGTACTACTCAACGACTATTATGATGGCGAGATCAGCCCTTTGCATCTATAACCGTGAAAGATTTCCTTTGTTAATATCAATATAGCTGTGATAATGATGTCACTATTAATATAGAAAATTGATCATTATGTCCCTATTTATATAGATAATTGACAATGGCACGTCAATGTATAAAGATAACAGATAATGATTGATATTATTAATTATGTAGATAATTGATATGATTAATTATATAGGTAATTCATAATGCGTCTATCAATAAAGATAACTGATAATGATTAATCGATTTCTCCCGACAGGGTGACATGGCAGACCAGATTGACAGACAAGACACAGGCAGCGCGGAGAGCCCCCTGTGTCCCGAACCTCAACTCGAAGTGACTCAAGACCTCGAGCTTTTGGCGCAGGAGATCGCCGAGGCCGCCGTCGAGGAGGACGAAGAGGAAGAGGAGGAGGACGAGGAGGCGGAGGATGAACAAGAAGCAATTAGAAGGGAGAGCTCGCAGTCCCCGGTCCTCCTGTGTGGCCAGACCGAAGACACGTGTAGAGGAGACGCCAGAGAAGACACGGTGACTGTGATCGAAGAGCGGATGGAGGAGGAAGGCACGAAAGAGGAGGACAAACAGCGGTCGGCGAGTCCGGTTGATGAGACGTCCTGGGTGCTCGTAGACGCCGAGGACGAGAACGGAAGGACGGCGAAGGGACCGAACGACAGCCCCGACCTCAAGTACAATCTCCTGAGGAAGTTCCTGGTGGCGGGCGACCTGCGGCAGAAGCTGACCGATGCGGGGCTTGTTTGCGACGAGGAGGAGGAGGACAACGCAGGAGACGCCGACGAAGGACTCAGAGATAGTATGGTGATGTCTTGTTCGGAATCCATGGTGATCTGCGACCTCCCACAGGTACGTGCTTTTGGGCGCTTTACAAACAGTTAAACTTAAACTAGAATCTCAGTTTGGAGTTGTTGAATAGGATTACAATATCATAACCTGAATCTGGGATGCTAAGCCGATGATGTTCAAATTGAGTTATCTTTCTGCTTCCGAGAAATAGAGATTTTTATTATGCTATATTTTTGTATTGCATATAAGTAGATTAATATCAGTGTTTATACATACAAACGGAAATAGGCACATATGCATACATATATATATATATATATATATATATATATATATATATATATATACATACACACAACATATATAGATATACACATGTATATATACATATATACACACAACATATATACATATACACATGTATATATACATACACAGATGTATATATGAACACACACACACACACACACACACACACACACACACACACACACACACACACACACACACACACACACACACATATATATATATATATATATATATATATATATATATATATATATATATATATATATTACAAATATATATAGGATATATATATATGTGTGTATAGATAGATAGATAGACAGGATAGATACATAGATAGATAGAATCCCCATCCCATCGACCCCGCCCCCCTTCCCTCCCCACAGACGGCCGGCGACGAGGAATCGACAGCGCTGAACCTCAAGAACTTCCCTGATTGCTCCAAGAAGTCTGACTGGCGAGGTACTTTCGCGGGAGCTAGGGTAAGCGCGCACAAGTTACGGTGATGAACTACTGTGTGACGATCTCGTGTGTGTGTGCGTGTGTGTGTGTGTGTGTGTGTGTGTGTGTGTGTGTGTGTGTGTGTGTGTGTGTGTGTGTGTGTGTGTGTGTGTGTGTGTGTGTGTGTGTGTGTGTGTGTGTGTGTGTGTGGTGTGTGTGTAGAGGATGTGCGTATGTTTATGTTTGTGTGTTTGTTTTTTTGTTTAGAGATGTGACATATGTGAATTCATATTTACATGATATAGACACGTATAGGTAATTATAGATTCAGTTTCATGTCATTGTCTGATGTTCTGAACTAAAGTGATTTCAGGGATACAGGCAATTTTTAAGCCCGTTCGCTAGAATTGCTATAGCTTGTGATATTACCCTAAAGCCCATAGGAAATACACAATTTCTGGAAATATTTCAGGGTTATGTCTTAGAGAAATAATATCGCTTACGTCTACCACTAAGGAGATTGTGCATTACAAACTAGCGACAAGAAGAAAAACAATAATAACTACGACTGAATCACTTTACCCGACTACATATATAAAAAAGTACAAAACCAAACCCGTTACCATCCTAAAAAAAAAAAAAATAACCAACGAAAACCACCCTTCCAGAAATCTCAGCTCCTCTCACCTCTCCGCCATTCCCCCTACTAACGCCCTTGCAATTGCAGGTGGAAGTGGAAGTGGAACGCAAAGGGGGACTCCAGGTGGCCGCCGTGAGGGTGTGGCACGTGGATCTCCTCTCCGCTCTGGCGTCTCTCCAGAGCCTCGCGAATACTGCAGGTTAGTTCCGGGTTGCACTGGCGCGAGAGGGGGGCGTTGGGGACGTGTTTGTGCGTAGGTTCGTGTTGTTGGTTGTGTTATTATGATTTTCGTTTAAGTACTATCATCATTATTATTATTTTCATCATTATTATTGTTATCATCATTATTTTTGTTATTATCATCATTATTATTGTTATTATCATCATTATTATTGTTATTATCATCATTATTATTGTTATTATCATCATTATTATTGTTTTTATCATCATTATTGTTAGTCTTAATAGGAAAGGGATTAAGGTATTTGCTTCAGTTGGGAAATGAAGTTTCATAAATGATGATTTCTGGTCCCATCATAACAGTATGTTCATAACAGTTCGTGTGTATGTGCCTCAGAGAGAGAGAGAGAGAGAGAGAGAGAGAGAGAGAGAGAGGAGAGAGAGAGAGAGAGAGAGAGAGAGAGAGAGAGAGAGAGAGAGAGAGAGAGAGAGAGAGAGAGAGAGAGAGAGCAGACAACCAATACAACCTCCAAAAAAAAAACAAGCTTAAACAGTTACGCATCGTTTAACAAAATGATTCCAGCAACAATTTTGATTCACGAATTTGGAGCCATCCTCGCGCCATTTTTTTCTTTTTTTTCCTTTTTCTGTTTTTATTCTGCTTGTGCCTCCACTCGCTGCCACACACACACAATGATTGCCACACAAATATCAGCCTTTTCTCAGGACCAATAAATTACTTTTCGAGTCTCATGTATATCAAATCAGACGGTGTATTTTCTGTTCCCAACCATGTCTGTGTTTTTTAAGCGGCCTTCTTGTTTTCCTCGGCAGCCACTTTGGCAGTCATAGCCGCCGGTAACTCGCTCGGGATAACTTTTCACAGAAATTATTGGCAGGGTTATTTAAGCCTTAGTTATTGCTTGTGTGGTATTATCATTACTTTTTTTCTGTTTATTGATTTCTTGCGGTTGTTGTGACTTTTGTTTCAATGTCAGTTATAACTAATGTCGTTATCATCATCATCATTGATATTTTTGTTATTATTTTTTATTATCAAAATACTTATTATTATTACTATTATTATCATTATTGTTTTTGTTGCTATTGCTGTTATCATTATCACTGTTGCTATTATTATTGTAGTTTTTATTATCATTATTGTTATTATATTATTGTTGTTGTTTGCATCACCATTATCATCAGCATCATAATCATTATCCTTATCATCACCATCACCATCATTATTATTGCTATTGACTTCAATAGTGATATTATTTTCATTATAATTACCTTTATTATGCAAGGAAATAAAGAAAAGTAAGCAAGTAGTTTTTTAAAACATATGAGCATTAGATTATCATTATTGTAGATGAGATGTAAATCCTGAGAAAATTCAGTTTCAGATGTAGAATTATTGTATTATATAAATAAGAAAAAAATCCTCAAAGCTTTAATATATCACAAACGTTATATTACAAACTTCTATTAAATCTCAAGAGCAGCGTTCATATGATCTATTTTTCCCTTATTATACGACCATTCTTTCGCAGCGTCAAAGACCCGGCGAAGGCAAAACTTGTACCATTAAAGCTTAGTTTATTTGGTCCCTTTGTTCGGAAGCTAATCGTTCTCCCAGCTGTGTTTACCTGTCCGCGCCATTTTGAATTCGAGTTCCCGGGAATAATTGACGAAAAAGCCCCTGTTCCCTTTTCTTCCGTGACAATTTTTGGCTCGCGTTTAAATGGCTTCTCTTGAAACAATTGGTGAGGAAAATACTCCTACCTCATTTTGTCGCAATAATTGAACTTTACATATTTGAAAAGGGTCAACATGGATTGCCCAAAGAGAGAAATGATAATTGGAAAGATGGACAGGCATCAACGACATTCTTTCTCTCTGATATTCTTTTTCATTTTCCTTTTTTCTTTGTTAGAATGATCTTTCGAAAAGCGTTTCACCGGAAGAGAGAGATTTGAATAAAATATTCCGCTTTCATGACGTAAGAATGGTATTAAAAGCCTGGGAAATTTAATTTGTTTGTAGGTTAAATGTCAAATCTATTACCACGCTTATTTTTTTTTCGTCAGGCTTGTACTTTCAAAATTCTACTAGCACTAGAAATAACAAAATAACTCATGCATACTCAATGTCCACTTAGTCGCAAGTGTTACAGTCTGACAGATATATATTTTCGTGCCTCAATTACCTAGTAGTTGCCGATGACTTTCAAAATTCTTAAAATGATTATGAAAGAGGATGTTCAAGTGCACATAAGAAGGTGTAAGTAGTTTTTGCACTTGGCAACTTAGCTATGTAGCGACTTTACGACATAAGCGCTATTATTGTTGTTATTATTATTATTATTATTATTGTCGTTATTAATGTTAATATCATTTTTAATTGTAAGAGTAATATTTTTTATTACAATTATTATTAGTAGTATTGTTATTCTTATTGTTCCAGGTAGTAGTAGTATTACTATTGTTATTGTTTTATTATTATTATCATTACTATTACTCTTAGGCCCGTACTTTTAAAACCTTTCGCCAGGGGTGGCATCCGATTTCGCCGGCCGATCGGGAATTTCGTACATGTAAAAGCATGGCAAATTTACGCCAGGCGATCTTACGCCAGGGCTGGCGTTCGGTCGTATTGGAACAGCCTGGCGAAGCAAAGTCGCGAGAGCCCTCCCTCTCCCGTGATTGAATAGCACTTTCTTGCTTTCAAATTACAGATCAGTAACATATTTGTGTATGATATGATATAGGAATCACATTGTAACTTTAAAATCTCTGAAAATTACAATTTATTATGAAATAACGTATAGACGTAGCTTTTTCAAGACTATGAATTTTGTAGTCGAGGACAAGACAGCGGTATTACTGCCGCCCCCGAGTTATTTTGATTAAAGTTGTTGTTAATTTGGTTGTAGGGATAATTTTCTTTTCACAAATGTTACTAATAGTGTTTTGGTGATGGCACGTTTACTACGGTCTATAGAAACAGCTGTCATGCTCCACTGCTCTGCAATGAGGCATGTCTAATGATACACTTGTAGGCCTACAGTTCAATATTTTATTTGCTGGGTATAGTAAAACGATTCATTTTCAACTACTTTGTTGTTTAAAGTTATTTTTTGTATAGAAGTATAAAGTTGATATAGTATAGTATAAAGCATAAGGCTAACTTTGCTGTAGTATATTGTATAGAGTATATAAAGTTAACTTTCTTATAGTATAAAATTATTGTTTAACTCCCGTGATATAGTATAAAGTGAGATTGTTACGGAGATAACATTTTCGTCTTCTCCCGAGGTTAATAATGAAATTTAGGTTATGTTAGGTAAGGTAAGGTTAGGTTAGGAATTATCACGGCCTCTATATATTCCTTTATGAAATCCCGAAGAACATTTTTTTTTTATCCAAAATGGATACAGGAGAGGACCGACAAGCTGCGGCGCTGGTTACCATGGCAACGCTGTGCACTGCAGATGTAAATAAATCTGCGTTACCGCGTTTTTTCATTCGCCGAAGCGCTAGATTGAGCAGGAATACAAAATGTTAGCGCCTGGCGATCCCTTTTGTCCGCTAGGCCTGGCGATCACCCGCCTTGGCGAACGTTGGGTTTTAAAGTAGGCCTCCCTCACTCAGCTGATCGCCTGCAGCATCGCTAGGCGAACGCCAGCACTGGCGAAAGGTTTTAAAAGTACGGGCCTTGATCTGTCTCTTCTTGTTATTGATATTGGTATTATTATTATTATTATTGTTGTTACTGTCGTCACTATCATCATTATCATCACCATCACTGTCATCATCACAGTATCATCACCATTACTAAAACAATAACTTCTACTACTACTACTACTACACTACAATAACAGCTTTTACTACAGCTACCACTTCCACTACCACTACCATTACGACTGCTACTACTGTTACTATTACTATTACTACCACTGTTGCTAGTAATGATGATAATGATGCTATTATAATTTATATGAACGTTTATGTTTTCTTATATATTACCAGCACTATTATGATTATTATCACACGTTATGAAATATTTTTGTCAAGTTCTTCGACATTCTCATCACACTCACCTGTATTCTCATTATAGTGTTCATATAGCATAACAGTTGTTGGACAATAGATTATTACATCAGTATATGTTTGCGAATTCTTGGTTGCAAAACAATAACAGCTGTCTTTTGCAATTGTGGATATGAATGGGAAAGTACGTATGTTATGTTCTACATTGTTATATAATGTTATTTTTTTCATGTTAGGAGAGTGCTTGGGATGTGAACAGTGATAATTAGATCTGATATGATTATGAGCAGACCTGTGTTTTATTATCATCTTTAATATTGTTATTTCATTAGTTTCCATTTATATTACACCGTAATGATAGTTGTCGACGGTTACACAAAACAAATTTATACATAGGCCTATTCAGGAATACATCAGGAATACAAATACTTTCACTTACTCACATTTACTCACCCACACTGACGGTCACCGAGGCATCTGCACAGCTTAGCAGGGCGGAAGAGGTGAATCAGGGGGATGATTGACCTCAGCCAGATGTTTGACCTGACCTGACTAGGTGAAAGGGTTCTCTTCTCTTTCTCTCTCTTTTGTTATTTTTTATTCCCATTTAAGTCTCTCTGTTTACTCTCTCTCTCTCTCTCTCTCTCTCTCTCTCTCTCTCTCTCTCTCTCTCTCTCTCTCTCTCTCTCTCTCTCTCTCTCTCTCTCTCTCTCTCTCTCTTTCTCTGTTTTTCATCATTGTTGTTGTCGTTGCTATAATAATGATAATAATAATAATAATAATAATAAAAAAAAAAAAATAATAATAATAATAATGATTATTATTATTATCATTATTATTATTACCATATTATAGCTATTATTACTATTATAACTATTATTGCTATTATTACTATTATAACTATTATTGCTATTATTACTATTATAACTATTATTGCTATTATTGTTATTATTGTTGTTGTTGTTGTCATTATTATTATCATGATTATTAGTGTTAATGGGAGTATTACTATCATTATCAGTAATTGATTATTATTTTTGTTTTATTGTTATTATTATCACTATTGTTGTTATTGTCATTATTGTTGTCATTATCATGATTTTTATCATTATTATCAATATCATCGTCATTATTATTATTCATATTAGTATCAATATTGTTATTATCATTTATGATGTTCATTGTTAGTATTTATTTTGCAATGGCATTGATAATAATGGTAGCGCGAATGATGATTTTCATCTTATTTTTTATTATTTTATCATGATCATTGTCTCTATCTTCATCATTATTATTGATATTGTCATTAAAAAATAATGTCATTATAAAATAATATTTTAGTGTTATCATTATCATCGTCATTATCATTATCTTTATCATCGTCATCATTATTATCATTTTCCTCATCCTCATCATTATCATCATCATTATCATTGTTATCACCCTTATTATTATCAATATATTATTGTTATTATTATCATTATATTATTGTTATTATTATCATTATTATTGTCATTATTGATATCATTATTATTATCATCACCATCACCATCGTTATAATGATAATAATAAGGATATTAATAACATCTACTACTGTTATTGTTGTTATCTATTACCATTATTGTGATTAATAATACAATTAGTTATTAATATCACTGCCAGTATCAGTACAACTACAACTATTGCTACTCTATCTGCTGTTGTTACGACTGCCGTTAGTAGACACAACAGCTTATGTTGTTTGTAATGTTGTTACACGCGGTTGTGCATAACAAGACGAACGGTGATTTTAATTAATTTGCCAATACAATCACTAAATCTGTAATTATTCCCCGTCGCGAGCACAGAATACATTTACATATTTATAGATATATTTGCACACATCGGCCTTCGCGCTTCCGGTATTTCGATCCGCGGGAATTTTAAAAGTGACATTAGTGCAACGCTATAACAGTCAGAATTAAATACAATTAGAATAATCAGTTTTTCAATGATTTTAGAGTAAGATTTCGGGAATTTTAAAAGTGACATTAGTTCAACACTATAACAGTCAGAATTAAATACAATTGGAATATCCAGTTTTTTATTTATTTATTTTTTTTTTTAATGATTTTAGAGTAAGATTTCGGATGGTTTGTGGGTTCTCTGAGGCTGGTAAATATATAATTGTAAATTAGGTTTGGTATCTGTTGTACATTACGATAGTTTGATTACCTCTCCGTGATTTTTTTTTATATTCTCCTCACTCAAAGTAAATAGATAGATAAGTAAATGACTAAGATTTGTTAACAACAGACTTAAATCGATATTTGGGCGTGGGCGTTGAATGAAATCTATGAACGTGATGTTATGATAAACTGTTATGATAACAACCTGTCGCATGTCTCAGCCAGAGTGTTGGGTCGAAGCAACAGAAAGGCAAATCTTGGAAAAAGGGAAAGTGTAACGGGAACAGTTGTGGGGAGGAGGGTTAAGGGAGAGTGGGGAGGGGGTTAAGGGAGGGGGGAGGAAGAAATAGGAGAGGGGAAGGAGAGGGATGGAAGAAATGGGAGAAGGCAAGGGAAACGATTATCATCCCCGGTTGGCATTCAATTACAAGATTTCTTTGGCCAATTTTTCGGCCACGGTTAATTTTGGGCCATTGTCAGGTAGTGTGCCAAGGTAAAACATGCCTATTCGGTCAGGGGGAGAAGGGGAGGGGAGCAAGGGACAGGACGGGGGGGGGGACACATGGCAGAGGGTGGGGGAGGGACAAGGGGGGGGGGGAGAGGAAGGCTAGCCGATGAATTCATTAGAATTTTAAACCGCGTCGAAATTAGCAGTTGGATTAATCTTGTCTGCGGCGACCACACGAATAAGCGATCCTGTGCGTTCCGCCGCCGAGCTGGAGAGACGATTCCATTCCCACGCTGCGCTCGGGGGA